GTTAAGGAAACCAAGATCTCTTGACATCTGAGTAACTTGCTGCAGATGTACTACCAGTCTGTGGTGGCAAGTGTGCTTTTCTGTGCTGCAGTCTGCTGGGGAGGCAGCATCCAAAACAAGGATGCAAGGAGACTGGACAAACTGGTGAAGAAAGATGGCTCTGTAATTGGAGCCAGACTGGACATGTTGAGGGTGGCGGGGGAAAGATGCACACTAAAGACATTAGAAGCCATCCTGGATAACTCTGACCACCACTTTTTAAAATCTTCATGGAACAAAAAAACATCAGTACTGGAAGACTGCTCTCTATCTGTTGTAGGGAGAGATGCAAAAAATAATTTGGACCCAGAGAAATCAGGATTTTTAATTCTCATCCAAATAGCAGATGAACTATGTGAAACATGAATTTCCCTTTTGGATCAAAAAAGCTATAAATGGTCATAAAGGAACAGACATGCTCAGCAACAAGACTCAGGTAGGCTGTGGGGTTGAAATGATTCTCACTTGTTAATGAGGAACCTGATGAATGCCAAGAAAGTTATTCCACCAGAAGCTTGAGGCATTGATAAAAGCCAGATTCTGACTAGCCGGCTGAATGTTGCAGCAGAAATCTAGAGTTATCAGACCAGGGAACATGAGTCAGTATGAAGTGCAGCCTCAGCTTCCTGTTCTTGGCAGACAGGAGTGTCACCTGGTGTGGTTTTCTCCTGCTGTGCCCATCTGCCTCAAAGTGCAACATGTCTTGCATTCAGAAATGCTCTTCTGCATACCTTGGTGTAATAAGTGGCTATTTGGGTCACTGTTGATTTCCTATCAGTTGCAAGCAGTCCAGCCATTCTCCAGTGAGGTAGGAAACCAGAAACATAGGGATGCATCTACAGGAAAATCCTACTAACTCAACAGTTTCTGAAATGTTCAGCAGAGGTCATGCGGCCAACCACGTCATGTTCAAAGTCACTTAAATCACATTTCGACTCTATTCTGATGCTCAAACTTCAGCAGGTCATCTTGACATGCTTATATGCCTGGACATTTACATTACAGGGCAATTAAACAGGTGTACCTAATAAAGTGGCCAGTTAGCGTAACATCCAGGTGTGTTTTCTCCATATTTCATCCTACTCACTTCTATCTTTATCTGTTTAACAGGATGGATGGATGGATGGATTAGTAGTAGCAGTAGTATGATCGAAATGTCAGGTTTAAACGTTTCTTATATTACAGCGTTGCTCACAGTTCAGAAGTGTGCTGAAATTCATCTCCTCTCCCTTTTCTGCCTTTGCAGTTCCTCACTTAGAGAGCAGCATCACAGATTTTGCCAGAGGGCAGATTTAATTCTCCAAAGACCCCCACAGTTAAAGTTTCATTATGAGATCAGAATTTCCCTCAAAGATGAGAGAATATATGAATTACCCAACAGAAACACTATCAAGAGGATCATTTAAAGACTACATAAATACAACCTGCGGCCTATAAAATCTGCCCTTAAATAATGATCAATAAACTCATGAATATGGCCTCTCACATGTTGGAGAAATACAAGAAACACCTCTCTCTTGTGGTCTTGCACAGTACTACAAGAATGACTGTGCTGGCCTCTGAGTGATGTTATTACACTCATAATAAAAACAGGTCCCTGTATAACTTATACGTTTTAAATAAAGCTCAATCCCAACAACCTTCGTGTAAACTGCTGGCACGTTCTGGTGTGGACGCCGTGTGGGGTTGGCGAGGGTGAGATTCATGAATCACAGGTAGCCACGGAAAATTACATAAGCGACATTTGTAGTGTAGGCTGCAGCTGACAGCAGAGGTTAGTGAAATACAAGCCACTGCTAGAATGTTTCATTGCATTGTAGCTGAGACAGACACACTGTTTAACTGCTGGGATTTGTTTTTGGAGGGTGTTACACTGCAACTATCTCTTCAGTGGCAGATTAAGAGACTTCTTGGACTGTACATCTGGGTAAATACTGGTGGTACTTGCACAGTTATCATATTTCTTGTATTTCTTTTAATGCTACTTTGTTTCTTTAAAGATCATTAACACCATTGCTGGATAAAAAGTGGCTATCATAACATTTGCTG